TCTGAACAACCTTCTGCATTGTTGGGTGTGGCCCTTAAGTTTCCATGTTTCCCCCATAGCTTCCCTAATGTCCAGCTGACATTTTATTCCTCTACTAGAAACTTTCTTCTCCTCTGTTCCTGAAGCCTAAATTGATTCCCTGCCCACTGCATTTCCCACCCCCCCCCACCTATTGTTTGTCCTACATTTTACCTACATTCTTCTTTATGGAAGTGCTTCTTCTGAAAGCTGTTGACCCATGCAGTGACATCCCTCCTCCAAAGCAGTCTCAATATTAACCCTTACTTTATTGGTTAACCTCAACTTCTCTTGAGATAGAATTCTTCTCAAAGTTCAAGTCTTTTCCTGTCAAGAATGCTTGTAAGCTCTCATAGTTTGAAACCATTTGGTCCAGTTAACTTTTTGCTGAGTTCCTCCATCTTCCACACCTGAGGGCTTGGTGAGAGGATGCAGGAACTGGAAGAACAGATGTTAACTATGACCTCTTTCTATTTACGTTCTTGTTGACTATAAAGGTCCGATTTCATTTCAAGGGTCATTTTCTTCACAGAGGTGAAATCTTGACCTGGTAAGGAGCGAAAGTTTCACTGACATCAACTATTAGTTAGCCTAAATGCAAGATCTGGTCCAAATGACTTTCTTCTTAGTTCACAGCAAGACTTGAATATACCTTGTTATTTGTGATATTTCTAGTCCTATTTATTTTTTTGTAGACTGGGTCTCCTTATCTTATGTAGGCTGTAAATGCAACAACCACTCAAAAACCCAATCCTAAAAGTCAGTATGGGAGCATTGACCTGCTGGGTTTCCAACCTAAGACAGTTCTTCCCTTCTTAGGCAGCCTGGTGGTCCATTGGTCCTTGGAGCACACCATACTGGTGCCAGATTCAGTGTGCCACTCAGCTGGCTTCAGGGCACTGCAGCTCAGAACTCCTGAGCTCCAGGGATCCACAAGCCTCAGCCTTCCAGTAGTGGGGATTACAGATACGTGCTGCCATGCCTGGTCCTCCTGATCTTAACAGGACAGAGACTACAATATATGGATATTATGAACAGCACAAAGAAAAGATGGTGGTTGAATAACCCTTAGGTTCAACCCATAACTCTCAGACTGGAAGATTCAGAATAGTATTCATTCCTGAGCTTTCCTTAGAAATCCTCATATTTATAGACTAATATTAAATTCAAGTACTTCCTCTCAAATCCCATGGGGCTCCTTCCAACCCAGCTTGAAAAGCACAAAAAAGGGAAAGAGATGGACATCAGAGAGGCTAAATCATTTGGTCTTGGAGATAAGGTTATACCACCTTGACACATCAAAATATGGCATGCCCCAGGGGGCAAGCATATTATTAAAGAAAGAGAAGTTCTACTTAAGTATCCTAAAATAACTCAGTCTACTATACTGATGGAAGAGTGTGTTACCTGCCCATCCTTTGATGAAACAGAATCACAGAATCTCAGAGTTGGAAGGGACATCAAAGACCACCTAATCCAACTTCTGCCTGAACAGAAATCTCTTCCATAACATCCCCAGCAAAAGTCATACAGTCTTCACTGGAATGCCTCTACTGAGGGTAACACTTCTGACATCCATTCCACTTTTGGATAGTTCTAACCCCTAGGATATTTTTCCTTACATTGAGCTTTAATCTTCTTCTTTAAATCTTCTTGTCCCAGAGTTTGGCCCTCTGGGACAAAATAAAAGAAGACTGGTCCTTTTTCCAAATGACATCCCTTCAAATTTTTGAAAACAGTTAACTAGTTTTCTTCCTTAGGCCAAACAACTCCAGTTCCTTTAGCTGATGCACTCATCTTTATTACTTTCTTTAGGGTGTTCTCTAGCCAGTCAATATTTTTCCAAAAATGTTCCCAGAAAGGAATTAAATAATGTAGATTCAGTTTAACCAGGGCAGGTCACCTCACGATTATAATCTACGGTGGTCTGGACACAACACCTCTTAATGTCACAAAGTCTATACCAGTCTTTTTTCCTTTTTAGAACAACTCAATAAAATAAAATATCTGTTTGTTGTTAGATAATGTTTCACACACACTCAAAGAAACAAAACATTTAAAAACAAAACACAGCAAGAAATTTCAAACAGCAACTTCACAAATAAAAATAAAGGGAAAAATGGAAAAGAAATAAAAAACCCTTTTATTTCTGGCCTTCCAACTATCAAATAACAAATCAATTATTTATTTTATAGCTAAATACAGTTACACACACAAAAGTTATTAGAATGCTTAGAAAAAGATTGTGTGTTTTATCAGTTTTCTTTCTTTTTCTTTTTCTTTTTTTAGTAAGTTTTCCCCCCTCCTTTGAGATTGTTAGGAATATGATCACAACACAAGTAAAATCAGAAGCAGGATAGAGAACATATCAAATGCTACTTAGTCATCCAAAATCATGGAAAAATGACTGACTGCCCCTAAAATATGCACAAAAATATAAAATCTAAATACAAATACATTTTTTCTTTAAAGGGCTTTTAAGAAGACAAGGGCCTTAGAAGTTTTAGTTCTTTTTTTTCCTCTTCCTGTTGGTAATTCTCATTGTGGTTGGTAATCATCAGGACTATATTATCTGATTGGGTTGCAGCACCTGGGCCCTCTATTTGAGGGTGATGACATTTAAGTTCTGAGACAGGAAGTTGAGAGTTAATAGGTCATTGCAGCCTTTTCTTCTTCTCCTTTTAAAAATTAACCTCCTCCCCCTATCCTAACCCCAATGTCTAGTTAGTTTATTAGTGTTCTGCTTTTTGATTTCAACAACTTCTTCCTCCTCATCTTCAGCTACCTATTTGCTTCCACATCCTCATCTCCATCCTCTTTCTCACCATTTTTCTTAATCCTCTTCATCTTCCTCATCTACATCATTGTGAACCTCCATTTTTCCATTTTTCTCCATTTTTCTCATTAGCATTACCATTAACTGGTTCATCTCTACCATTCTCCCATTCTCCATCTCCTCCATGATTTCCTTCCTCTCCCTCAGGGCCTTGGTAGAGTCCTCAGAGCTGGAGTCCATGGCTATGTCTGACATATTAGGGAGGGAAGAAGCAGTAGGAAGAGAATGAAAACTTTTAAAAACGGGTCAGTGTGGATCCCAAAGAGCACAAGTGAAAAAAGACCCTCCGCAAGGGCAATGAAGCAGTTCCAGGCCCCGATGCAGCAGGAGGAGAAGGAAGCAGTGAGAAACAATAGCAGTAGCACCAAAGCAGGGGGCAACTATGGCCAAACCTAGAAGGATAGACGGACAGTGTAGATAGCAGCTTGGAAACTATGCAAAGACAGCCTTTGAGAACAGCCAGTGAGGAGTCAAATTAGTTTGTCAGGCTGTTACATTGCCCTCTTTACTCGTATTGAGCTTGGAGTCCATGAATATCTCTCAAATCTCCACAGGAACTGTTTTCTAGCCATACCTCCTCCACCTTGTATTCATGGAGTTTTTGAACCCAAATGCAGGACTTCTTATTTATTCCTATTCATTTTCACCTTATTAGATTTGGCCCATTGTTTTAACCTAGTCAGCTATTTGAGGATTCTGGCTTTGTCAGGACTTGGTTAGTTATCTGTTCCAGGTTTGTGTCATCTGCATGTCATCCATGCCTTCATCCGAGTCATTTAAAAAAAAGGTTAAATGGCGCTGGATAGCTCTTGCAGGGGCTTCTCCAGAGATATCTTTCCAGGTTAGCAATGGGCCATTCATTCAGTTTGGAATCCTTCTAACTGGGGTATCATCTAGCCCAATGGATCCCAACCCTTTTGAACGTGAAGATCTCTTTTAAGCACAAAATAATTGCACAGATCTATTATATAAAACCCATATAATAGTAGTACCATTGGTTTCAATTAACTAAGAAATCACACAATTACAAAATGATAATGTTTGATATGTATAGTTACTCATAGACCCCTTACACAAAAATCTTTGGCTCTCCCAGGGGTCCATGTCCTATAGCTTAGGAATCCCTGCTCTAGCTCACATCTTTCCACCTTGTCCCAAGGATACTGGGAAAGACTTTGCCAAATGCTTTGGGGACATCTAGGTAAACTCATATCCACATCAGTTTTCTGGTCTACTAGTCTAATTTTTCTGATATGACTTGTTCTTGATGAAGTAACACTAGCTCTCAGTGATTCCTGCTTCCCTTAAATGCATACAAGGCATTCTTTTAATAATGTGTTCTAGAATTTTGCCAGGAATTAAAGTTAAACTCAGTGACATGGTTTGTAGCTTGTTAGTATTATGAAACACAAAAATATCTGTACCTTATACACACAGTACAAACACCTGTATCTTATACATCAAAATGAAGATTTTATTTATTGATATAGTTTGTGTTACTATGATATATATCAATATATAGATATATTTTGCATATTTGCATATATACAAACACATAATATATATGTATACATATATGTATATACCCTCATATATACATATATATGTGTATGTGTGTGTATATATTCACACATATATACATATGTGTGTGTGTGTGTGTGTGTGTGTGTGTATTCAAAAGATTCCTTACACCAAAAGAGGCATGTTGGGTTGAGATTTGTATATCTTTTACTGTGGATATTCTGTATTACATGTTACTATGTTCATGAAACCTTTGAGTACAAGGATGTTTTTTATTTAATTACATTTGTAAGCAAACACAAAAACAACAAAACGTGGTTCTACATTCATGTGAGTATGCAATGTTCTTTGACAATGCTGACTTTGCTACAGTTGGTTTTCCACTCAGTGGTCGTCCTTAGGGAAGCTACCTGCACACTAAATGGCTTTTCTAGTGAGGAAGATGAGATATTGGTTCAAGAGATGAATAACTACCATTTCCCCATGGGTGGATTTGAAGTCAGATCTCTGCAAAGGAAATTTTTCTGCTGTCATGGATAGCGTTGACTTACCCAATGGTCAGGAAAATATAACTCTCCTCTATGGTGTCACTGAGAAATAAGAAATGGCTGGTCAGCATTCCTACCTGGTAAGCTTGGTACCGATCTGCTGCCTCAACTCCAGCCTCTCCTCGTCCGTCTGCCTGGGCAAAATGTTCTTCTCTTCTAGCTCTCGCTTGGAAGGTCTGTTGCTGAGCTTGATGGCCAAGGAATCCTTTCGGCACACTTTCATAGCCAGAGAACCTGGAAGAAGGCAAAAAACTAGAATGTTTACCCGCACTAACGCCTGCAGTCTCTTCCAACAACCAATAGTTGCATGATAATGTTGGAAAGAAACAGCCATAAAGAGCTTAAGACTCAAAAGAGTTTTAGCTTAGCTCAAATGCATATTTATAAAGTTTAATCAAACAAATAGGTATTCACTGAGGTTTGTAGATAATAGAAACATGAGGCATTATCCCTGCCTTCAGGGAACTTACAGTTTATTGAGGCTGATAAGACTAATTCTCACACAACAATTCAAGGACAACAGAATGCTAAAGAGAGAGGTAGTGACAAAAAGCAGAATAGGGGCTCAGCAAAGGGAGAGGTTAGTGTGGGCTTTGGGAGCTGGAGAAACCTTCATTCACTTAGGTGAGTCTTTATAAGGATGGTAGAGGCAGTGGAGAAAATAGCATGAATAAAGTTACAAGAATAAAAATGAGCGTGTTGTGTGCTGCAGCTATGGAGATGTCTTTGCTTGATTAGAGAATCAATGAAGTGGGTAGACAAGGGGGATTTAGGTTATGGAATATCTCTTGTACTAGGAAACGGTCTTTGATAGCAGTTTACTTCTTTAGAATTAATGCAAACAACTACTCAGAGGCTACTTGACACAACAGATAGAGGGCTGGATTTGGGGTCAGCAGGTCTGGGTTCAAATCCTGGCTCAGATAATTATTAGTCTGTAGCCACAGTCAGGTTACTTAATCTTTCAGAGTTTTAATACTTATACTATTTACTTTACAAGGCTGTTATGAAAGAATTGCTTTGCAAATTCTAAAAGCTCAACCTAAATGAGATATTGGTAACCAGAGAAGGCCAATGATACTGTATTTCTTGGGAGACACTTGGCTCCATATGACTGGGGGTCTGATTTTTCATTCTGTGGATTACTAATACCATTGGATCATTGGTTCTTTCCTCACTTGCCTTTTGACCATCATTAACATTCCTATCATAGACCCTTCAATCGTGCTGTTCTCCCCCTGCCTTTGTAAGAAGAAAAGAAAAGAGAAGAAACTCAAATGAGACAATTCTGCTAGTTATCAGCAGTCTGGTTAAATGGTTTGGAGGGGAAGGAAATTGAAGCTATTGGCTAGCAAAAGGCTTGGAGATTTCCTGTGGATTTTCTTTGTCTTCTCTTTCTCCCCTATTTTATCTCAAATTATCAAGGATACAGCTTGTGCTATATTCAAATGAGTGCCCTTTTAAAAGGGATTTATTATTCAGGCTTGGAATGATGGATTTTGAACTTTCCTCTCCTTTCTCAGCACATTTCAAGACACCTAAATAGGAAATTTAAATTCTGGTCTTCCAAAGTTGTTGGTGTCTGAATGAAAATGAGTAATTACATACACAACGGTTGGCATTAATTACTGAGCATTCTTTGTGACTAAAAAAAAATTATGGCGATATAGCCAGCCTCTTTAAGGAGAAGATGAAGTGTGGTTTCATTTTGGGTTTTCCTTATGCTCTGAGGAAACAACAGAAAGAAAATTAGTGGGGGAGGGGGGATCTGGTGAACAGTTCAGACATACTAGTGTATAACGAGCTGTCATCATCTTCGTCTTCATCCTCATCCTCCTCTTCCCTTGTGTACAGGCAGGAGGAGTCTTCATAATCAGATTCATGAGGCACATTTTCTTTATTGTCATCACATTCAATCACAACAGTTGGCACTTGTCTTAGGTCTGGAAGACCCATGGGTCCTGTTTTTGTGATGCCATCACCCGAGTGTAAGCTGGAACTGTGGTAGGAAGAAGAACAGGGCACTCGCTGGTCAGAACTAGAAGGGGAAAAAAAAAGTAAGAATGAATCCAGCCACATTCACCATGTGTCTCAGAGCTTCCTAGGCTTTTTAAAGTAAAGAACTCCACATTAATCATTCCACATTAAGAAATTAAAATGCAATTTAACTTTAGAAATTCTTATTTCTAGGGCAGCTAGGTGGTGCATTGGATAGAGTACCGGCTCTGGAGTCAGGAGGACCTGAGTTCAAATCGGACCTCACACACTTGATACTAGTTGTGTGATCCTAGGCAAGTCACTTGATCCCGAATGTCTCACAAAAGAAAAAAAAAAGAAATCCATATTTCCAGGCTGGAAAAGTCAAAGATTGGCCAGGCAATTAAAACTACTTTTCTAGCACAGTATTATGCAATGGGCATTTATTAAGCACTTGCTGTGTTTGAACACTGTGCTAAGCTGTTCCTAGAATTTTTTTTTATTGTTCTAAACACCTGATTTAAATATTGTAGGGAGCCTTTTGGTGAGGAAACTCCTTCTACCAAGGCGGCACGACTCCTGCTCTGTAACTAAGAAGCTAAATGATTTGCTGAGGATCAAACGGCCATTATGTGTCAAAGGCAGTTCTTGAAGCCAGGTCATTTCGATTCAAAGGCCAGCTCTCTGTTGGTGAGAATGAAATCATCCCTGCCCTCAAAGAGATTACATTCTACATGCAATATGTACACAAGTAACTACTTTACGATGGCAGTGTGGCTGGATGGTCTGAACGGTCTGGAACAGGAGGTTTCAGACCTTTGTCTCTCTCTCTCTCTCTCTCTCTTTTTAAGCAATAACAACAGTAATTCTGGAACTATTTCTAATTGGTCTTATCATCTCCAAATGATAAATAGGTATATAATTTTATTTACTTTGGGCAGCTAGGTGGCTCAATGGATAGAGTGCCAGGCCTGGAGTCAAGAAGACTCATCTTCCTGAGTTCAAATCTAGCCTCAGACACTTATTAACTGTGTAACCCTGGACAAGTCACTTAACTCTGCCTCAGTTTCCTCATCTGTAAAATGAGCTGGAGAAGGAAATGGCAAACCACTCCAGTATTTTTGCCAAGAAAATTCCAAACAGGGTCATAGAGAATTGGACACAACTGAAAAATGACTGAACAATAACAACATTATTTGTTTTCTATTTGATTCATAGCAAATGGTTAATTTACCAGCATATTGCTTAGGGATCATGTGTTAGATGTCTACTCCATTACATTTCATCTTCCTACCTCTCTTATAAAGTAATGCACAAACTGAGGTAAGGGAGTGAGGGACACACTAAAAGTGACACCAGATAGCACCTGGTGAGTTCTGCACTGAGTAATGACAAAGGGAGCAGGAACAGGTAACTGGAGATCTGGTACAAATCAACAGAAGGAGGAAAGTTAAGGATGAGCTAGAATCCAAGCTATTTTTTCCAAGCTACAGTCTTTTATCTTTCAGGTATCTTATCTTATCTTATCATCAGGGGCACCAAATAAGGACAATATTTTTGGTTGAATGAAGAGTGGGAAAGATGCAAAGGTGATATTTTTGGATTTTTCTCTTAAGCAGAATCCACCCAGACAAAGCAGTTATATTCTTAGCAAGGTTTAGGGAATGGTCAAGTTGATTTCTGAAGTTCCATATTTCCTATATGATCATAAGCTGAGCAGTTTAGGATTCTTTTGTAACAGGTCCTATATAAAATCCAGCAATGAAACATACAGCTAACTGCCATACTTTTGTAGATTAACCCAAAGAAGGAACTGTATTCTTAATTTTTTAACCTTATGATCAAAAATTTTAATTTAAATAAATTTATATTTCATATATACATATATGACAGTTTCCATAGCCGTCAGATTTTGGCATTTTAAAAACAAGCAACTTTGTACCAAGCAATGAAAATGTTAAAGAAAAGAGTAGCTTACAGTTTTATTTTTGGACCAAAAAAATGCATATGTAAATACATATGTATTTACATGTACACACACATATATATACATGTGTATGTGTATAAATATATGCATGTGTGTATATGTGCACATACGCACATACATACATACATATTTGTATAAATACACTCATAATTTAAAGGCCTGTTTCCCTTTGGTTTCATCAACTCTAATTTCATGCCATTGAATACAGACAAATTTTAAAAATCATTTATTTCTTCAAGATCTGCAATGCTGTTATTACTCATCTCTGTCCATTTCTTATCAATTACATCATTAATGTCATCTATGAAATATTCTTGAACAAAGATTTTATCCTTCTCTGATACTGGGGTACAGCAAGATAATTCTCAGCAAAAAACCTTTGCATTTCTCTAAAATCAGTTCCCAAAGTGGCAAGGCCACATATTCTTATTGAATATAATTTCTTTGCTCTAAGAATTTCGGTTATTCTTATGTTTTGTGCTGTTATATTTAAGTATGTTTATTTCATTTATTGCTTTCCACTTATCTTTTTCATTTTCTTCTCTTCCATTTCTTCTATTGTTCCTTGACTTAGTCTGATTCTAGTTTCTAGTTTACGTGAGATTTTTTAAACAATTTTGCCAATCTCACTTGGAAAATCATTTTTTTTAACACTTTCCCCCCCAATTTAGTGACATCAGGCAGACAATAGTCTGTTGGTAATGAACAGATTCTACAGGGAAGGACCACAGGTAAGGAATCATTATCTAACTAGGTATTACTTCTTAGGCGTCTTTTGCAGTCAATAGAAGTGGATTGAGGATAGTGTGCAGCCAACTCAGGACCCTGCACTCTCAGGTGGTACTTGTTGACTGCTGATGTAACTCTGATGATTTTTGAGATGTCCTGTCTTGGTCTTCTGCACCCCCATTCTCACTTAAGTTATTCTTCAAATTGAGAGATTTCTGAACACAAGAAGTCAAATTCATCTCAAGATAGAATGCATCTTACCTACTCAAGTATATGTGATTAATGAGGAAGTGGACAATCAAGGCATATATTGTATTTCTAACAAATTTTACCTTGAACTACTTTATCCAAAAAGTAATTTTTTGATATGCTAAGAGAAATTTCATTGTGCATCAATGCATGATGGCTTCCTTTAAAACTTTCAATTATAAGGGGCAGCTAGGTGGCACAGTGGATAGAGCACCAGCCCTAAAGTCAGGAGGACCTGAGTTCAAATCTGGCCTCAGACCAAACACTTGACACTTACTAGCTGTGTGACCCTGGGCAAGTCACTTAACCCCAACTGCCTAAAAAAAAAAAAAAAAACCCTTTCAATTATAACTTATTGATATGCCTTAATTTTTTTCACTTCAGTTAACTTTCTTCCTTTGTGAATGAACGTTTTAATTATTATCTGCAGTTCCTTAAGCAAATAACTATTCATATTCTCTCTCATTCTCTCTCTCATTCTCTCCTCCTCCTCCTCATTCTCCTCTTCCTCCTTCTCCTTATCTCTTTCTTATCTCACTCAAGCTAGAAGTACACTGGCCAATCTCACTGCTGATGAGCACAGAAAGTTTTTTGACTTGCTATTTCTGACCTGGGCTGGTTCACCTTGCTTAGGCAGCCTAGTGGGCCTCCTACTTCTAGAAACCATATTGATAATGATGATAGATTTAGCGTGGATCCCACAATTAGCTTAGCCCACTGCAGCTTAGAACTTCTGAGCTTAATAGATTTGGCCTTCTTAGTAGGAGAGTTTTCAGATGTGAGCCCCCAAGTTTGACCACAAAGAACTTTTTAGTGACAAATAAATAATTTAGCCGGGCAGCTAGCTGGCACAGTGGTAGAGTGCTAAGTCTGAAGTCAGTAAGACTCATTTTCCCGAGTTCAAATCTGGCCTCAGACTTCCTAGCTGTGTGACCCTGAGCAAGTCACTTAACCCTGTTTGCCTCAGTTACCTCATCTGTAAAATGAGCAGGAGAAGGAACTGGCAAACCACTCTAGTATTCTGGCCAAGAAAACCCCAAAAGGGGTCATGAAGAATTGGACGTGACTGAAAAACGACCAAGAACAACATATTATTTAGTCACTATACAATACTGACATCTAATACAAATGAATTAAAATAAAACAAAATAAAAAAGCCTCCTTTCTAAATATGTCAATTCTTATTAAATATTGGAATGTCAAGGGACCCATATTTCATGGAATTTAATATACAGCAATAAAATGGATTGCACAGAAGCTGGCCTTCAGAGTGACCAAAGAATGAGAAGCCTAAAAGATAGCTTTAGAGGTAAGCCAGATTTCCACTATATTGGGTATCCAGTCTGACAAATGTCAATACTAACTGCATTTTCATTGTCCAGAGCAGAATATTAGGACTGTGTTTGAATGTGATTAAAAAAAAAGACAGGCTCTCTACCCTCATCGTGCCTCTGGTTGAATTAAGGGGTGAAGTACACAAAGGCACATAACTGGGGATTAGGAAACTGTATGAATGACACACAGACAGAAGATTTTCTTGGTTATCAACAATAGCCTGTTGGGAAATAATTAGAAATGAGGTTTGCGAGACTAGAACACAGAGAGAAGAGTTTGGATTTGGCATGAAAGGAAACAGGAAGCATTGCAAATTCCTAATAAATTCCTAGGAGGGTAGAAAGAATTCTATTCCCAGAGTCAGAAGCCTCGGGTTCAAATCCTTTCTCTGATGGCCCATATATATTTGGCAAGTCACTTATTATCCACGGTTCTCAGTTTCCTCATCTGTAAAATGAGGGTGTTGGACTAGATGACTATTGAGGTCTCTTTCAACTCTGCAGTTATGATCTTATGATCCTAAGCCTCAGTGGAATTTGTATTTCAGACAGGGGACCAAGAAGAGAAAGAAAGCTCGAAACTCTGGCAGTGATTCATTGGTGAGGTGATGAGGGGCTGGCTTAGGACGCTGACAGGGGAAACAGAAGGGAAGGCATTATGCAGAAAAACCAGGAAGACTTTTTGATGGGTTGAATTTGAGGGGGAAGGGGGAAGAAATTGAATATGGCTCTAATGTTTTGAGTCTGGAGGACTTGGGGAAT